AAATCTTTGCCGCTGTCGGACTTGGGTGACTCGCACCGGGCCGAAGTAAGCCCATATGGGAATTCCTCTTTCCTTCCTCGCGTGCGCAAGAAACAGTGCAGCCAATATGAGCGGCGGTGTGAAAACCGACGAGGAAAACTTAGGGAAACTACCGCCGACCCTCGCGGGCGCGCGGCGTGCGAGTTTCACTTGCGGGGGAGCCATGTCGATGAAGAAAATCCGCAGCCACTCCGTTTAATTTTAAACCGCCAACGAGGAGAATGACACATCCACAATGGACACGCACTCGTACGAGTACGCGACGCCGTGATGCGTGCGGCTATCATCGCGCGTTCATTTTCTTACGGAATCTGGATTGTCGCAGCATGACGCCGCCGCGCGCGCACGACGGGCAAGAAATTCGCGGGTTCTTTCCGCGATGCGCACGAAAGCTCGCCTCGTATACTGATGCACGGCTGCATCATCGCGCGCAGTCGCGTGGGTGTACGTAGGTAAAACTGCGTTTATGCGCGCACGCACACCCCGTGTCCTTCGGTGAAAGGACGAAAGGACGAGCCGTAGTGAACAAAGAGACGTACGCGAACAAAGCGACAAAACGTTCTCTCCCTCGACGCTTAACGATCTCGTTCGGGAGAGAGAGAGAGGGAGGGAGGGAGGGAGAGAGAGAGAGAGAGAGAGAGAGAGAGAGAGGAGAGAGAGAGGGAGAGAGAGAGAGACATACACAAAGACGAATAGCCCGCGGTGGAAAGCAAAATGAGATAGCAGTCGCGCGCGTTCGTACATATACCTATAAATACGAGCCTGTTGCGTTGGTATTACCGCGAAAGTAATGCGCCGGTCGTTCGGTAATCCCGACGCAAAAAGGTCGATGGCGACCCTGGGCGTCGAGTTATCGCGAGCGAAGTATACCTGAGAGAAAGAGAGAGAGAGAGAGAGAGAGAGAGAGAGAGAGAGAGAGAGAGAGAGAGAGAGAGAGAGAGAGAGAGAGAGAGAGAGAGAGAGAGAGAGAGAGAGAGAGAAACACCGAGAGCGCGGTGTTCGAGTGGAGGCGCGTCGATACGTTGTAGGTGCAGTCACTTACGCGAGAAGTCTTAAGGTGCTCTCCCAGCGCGGATATCCGTCGCGGTGATGGTGTGTTTCTTCCGACCACCGCCACCGCGCCGCACGATGACGTCGTGCCTCGGTCCCTTTAAAACGTATCGCGACGTAGCAGGAGGATCGGGTAGCAACTACCTACGCCAGCGAGAGCAGAAGGCAGACGAGAAGGCCGGCGGAGACGGGGCACCGCTGGACGCGCGACGATTTGTGTGCGAAACAACACAACGTGTGCGTATCGTACGTAAGAGGCGCAGCTAAAACGAATAGACCCGGAAACGCGATAGCGAGAGACTATAAACACAGTCGGTAATGCCAGGTCGTCGACAACCGAGAGTACCGGCCGCGTGACGTCGTCGACCATGTGAGAGCACCCTTAAGCGCGAGCCCCCGCGCCTCGCCGCTCCCTTCCCCTCCACCGCGCCGGCGTCCTTCTGTCTCTCTTCCCCCCGCGGCCTCTCACTCGATCTCCCGGCGGCGGCGGCGGCGGGCGCGAGAGCGCGTCGAGCTCGCGCACTTGACTGCCGTGCTCTAAGTGAGAGCGCCACGTGACGTCGCGCTCGACCCCAGCCGCTGCTTCCGATAGCACGCGGGCCGATTGCTCGGCGCGCCGCGATTGGCCACACCTTTTCGCGGTGCGGCCGCGCGTCTCGTCTCGTCTCGTCTCGTCTCGTCGCGTCGCGTTGCCTCGCCTCGCGCCGCGCTGTTTCTCGGATGCAATAACGATAATAACGAGAATGAGGAGGCGGCTCTCGCGCGCTCTCGAGGAGCGCCGACGTCGACGACGAGCCAGAACGGAGACGACGACGTGCGATTGTGACGGACACGAAATATCCACGCGCCGCCGTACATTGTCGCGTTCGCGCGCTCGACTTCGGTGCACACGTTGCGCGCGATTGACACCCGGTAAACACGGTTATCCGTTTGCGTACGTCGGGCTTTAACGTACGGTAAGTCGTGAAACTATCAGCCATCCGTGTCCTCGTGCTTCTTCGGCAAGTTCAATGTTTGATGATCTCTTCTTATTTCTTGTGTACTATTATGCTACCGCCGAAAGAGATAAGAAGTGCGAAAATATTGTTTATTATGCGCTTTGGGTCATGCCTCCTTCCCAAACTTTCTTCAAGATCGCAAGATTACGGGACGCGAGGACGCAAGACCAGCGTCACGTTCAAGAAGAATAGAATAAAAATGAATGCTACATTCTCGAAAAAAATCTTAACCTACGAATCGAAGGAAGAGAAGATGTTTTCATAGTGATGCAGCGTGAGGTGAAATTAAAAACTAATGTATGCAATGTCATGTTGATCCAATCACAAGGATATACGTTGTGATTGTATACGATTGTGCTATTACTTGCGGTATTACTTTTTCTCTCTGCTATTTTTATTTATATGCGTTTCAG